ATTCTCTTCCTCAACTTTAACGGAACCAAGGCTAAAAATTTCATTCTTACAATCTTCTTCTATATAACACTCTACTGGTCTGATATCTATATGATTAATTGGTGTGAATTGGATTTCATCTCTGGCCTCATGCGGTTTTGGGGTTGACTGGAACCAAATTATTTTTTTAAAAAGCCAGTGTAGTGGTGGCGTAGGAGCATGCATATTACGCCATACCATCCCACAGATGTTGTAAAAAGGGATAGAGGGAAACTGAAACAGATGGGCAGCGGCATCTTCTTGACAACAACTCTAGATGATAATAAAAACCAGACAAAAGTCCATATGGAGAATCGAGTCTCAACAATTTTTGAATCAGATTCACGAATGATGTAAATTGACAAAGATCTATCATTGTTTATTGAGTAATATTACTTTTAGATAATATTTAGTTTATATACAACAGGGTAATAAACAGTATCTATAAACAGTTAGTACATCAGAGGGACACAGAAACAGGAGTTGGGCAGCAGTATCCTCCTGATAACAACTCAGAAGTATATAAACTGCGGTTGTCAGCCTGCCAAAAGTAGCAAAATTTGTTAAAAGTCTAGCAATGAATTTTTTTAGATTTTAATGGATGAAAGAATAATACCATGGACCCTCCTGCAAACAACTGCTCCAGAACTGCATTTGACTCAATAGCCTGTTGTTGTAAGCTTCTGCAACGAATGAGTCTTGCATGACAGGTGAAACAAACAATTATGGGACCCTCATTCTCATCCATCTGAAAATATGAAAGTTCATCATAAATATGGAAAACGGCTTAATTATACAAGTTTGTAATAAAATCTATTGGCGACTACAATTCTCTTCATCAATATCACTTGATTATAACATTGAAGTGACAAATAAACTTACAGATCCACCTGATGGCAAGCGGGTACTGCTGCCCGTGAGCCAGGTGAACAACGAAATGCAAGCAAAGGCTACAGATGCGATGTTACCTCTGAGGACTAAGATGTAATGCTTGTTATGGCACTGGTTTCAATGAAGGACGGGAGACATACTGCTCCTGGCTGGTAGAAATAGCCAAGAGTATGATAACAACCCAGACAGACTTCTGGCCAGAAAAAAGTCCTACCAAGTGGACTATCATCACTGCATATCCATCGATTTTCTGTCTTACTAGATTGCTACTATATAGTGGGGGGCCACTCTACAATTTGCTTACCAGTATGATGCTATCACTCAAGAATTGTTTCCCCATGTGTTCTTAGCTTTGCAAGCTAAAAGGACACAATTCTCAAATTTATTTACAATGTTGTTTGACAAGTACATTGGAGTCCCCCTGACGTTAACAGGTATAATTTCAAAAGCACTAGATTCAGACTCTTGGAACCCTGACAGAAGTATTTTGAAGTTCAGGCTTTCAAAATTCAATTGTATTAAGCCAACTTTTAAATTTTTACATTACAAATACTTCTCTTATTTGCTCTAAGTAAAATGAAAATGCTTGCACTAGTAGTAATTTACAACAATAGTCAAATGGCAGATTTGAACTACTTCATTGAGTTTGCAGTCCGCAGCCATAACTATTACACCACTGTCACTTAATAACAATATACGTGGTAAGTAATATTTGTATGTGGTAGAGCCATGCTGATTTTATATTAGAAGTATAGTTGTAGCTTAAATGGGTCGGCTTGACCGGGGAAGGACCACATTCTCACAGTATAGTGAGGTGAGTGTAGAGAAACAGAGACCCTTTTTATCTATTATTACCCATTCCATCTTAGTCCTCACGGGTGTCAACGCATCTGCATTTTGATTCATAATCGAGGATAGATGTAGACGTCTGTGGGCCACAGCAACCACTTACCATCAGGTGGACTGTGTGCTCGTTTGTCACCCTATCCTATAAAAAAATACATACATCCCCCTTTTTGATTTAATATCATCATTATTTTGCTTTAATATGATTAGCAGTATAAAGTAAGTTTCAAATGGGTTTGGACATCTTACGATTAGATTTTTAATTTTGTATAGTTATAAGCAGCAGTATTTTTCAAATAAGAACAGAACAAGACAGATAAAAAAAAACTGCAGTTGCTAACCCACCTAGAGTAGAGTGCCAACTACTGAAATAATAATACTAGAAATGATACTTAAAATATATAAATAATATATTCAACCTTTTTTGGAATATGCCTACCAAATTATATTGATAGAGCACTGAAAACACCATATTAGGAAAGTCTCAAAAGACTTAATGATCAATGAATGAGATAGAATTTATTAAAACATACTCAAACAACACACATCTTAGTGGCAACACTTCAAATTGACTAAAGCGGTGTCACAAAATTACTCACCCATTTTAGCCAGTTCAACCACTGGTACTGGTATGGAACTGGTTGCTATCAAAAGTGATATCAGTACAAACCATAAACCAATTTTAGAACAGATTGTATTTCTGCTTTTATACAATAAGGGTTATTTTGCACAGACATTTAAATTCAAATGTAAATACTAAGTTATTTTTATATTCCTAATAAAAATCCAAGATGGTTTTCAAAGAAACCGATATATGTATTTTCAAAAAAGGATAATAAAATACCAAATTTTACTAATTTTCACACTAGTATTTATTCAAAGAGTGCATCTTTCATATTCCATCTCTGTGAGCTCATAATCATTCCAACAAAAAATAGTTGTTCACCAGGTGAGGAACTTGGTAAGCAAGTAATTTAAGGAAGAAGTTTTTGAATAAGTGCAATATACAACTTTTTTCTTTCATAGAATACATAATTTTGTCATTGGTTGTTTTATTTTACACTGACAAATACACAGAAATAGTTCCAAGGTAATGTTCCAAGCCTGAGTTCCAAGAGTTTGAGTTAGACTTGAAATGTTGGCATTATTGTTGCTGCTACTAACATTTAGAATGGCTGGTGTTCATAAATAATTTTAATTAAGGATGAAAAATATGAAATATAAATTAAAAATTTAATAAATATTTATTTAAAGGTTTTCTCATAAAATAGGAAATAGATTAAAAGTATTTCAAAGGCCAAAATAAAAATAGTAAAGTACTTAGTACTTGCATTTTAAATATATAACCAGCACACAGTCCACATGATGGTAAGTCAATGCTGTGGCCCATAGATGTCTACATTTATCCGCAATTAAGAATCAAATGCAGATGCGTTGTCACCACTGAAGACCAAGGCAGAACACCTCCTCACCTGTATATAGATCTTCCCATTCTCTACAATCACCATACAAAACAGATCAACATTAAGCTGCTATTTTACTCTAGTATTCTGTGAGATCATGGTACACCCCGTCATGCTGATCCATCAGTGATACAAGCATAATATAGCTGCAGCATAGCTCTACCACATTTATAATGATCATAATGTTCTACAGAAAGAATTTGGTCAAAGTAGGTTTGGTTATATTGTATGTGTGTGCAGATTATTCCTTCTTCTGATTTCTCAATCTGATAGAAATATGAGAAGTGTAAGAGTGAAAGAATTTCTGTGTCTATAAGCTCATGTGTACCCTAATCTCCCACTTTCATAGCCCAGCTTTAAGTGGGTGAACCGCCAAGCTAGGATGGGTGTTAATTTCTCGACAAAAATCACAATAATATTCATTAAATTTATATATATTAGAATAGAAAATTTATGCGGGTCTCGTGGAAGGAGGCACAAGGTACCTTTTTACGGCAGAGAAAGTATGTTTGAGCCCGCGGAACTTAACGCGTGTTGCAAAAAACAAGTCTAAGGGTCTCTTCTAGTAAGTATTACATACTACTTATATGAGAGTGCTGATTTTAGTACGACCCAGGTTTCCAGGCCAGGTTCCGGTTGTATTTGTCACTTTATTTATCGCTGCACCTTAGCCTAGCACAGATCTATCGCATTTCATATCAGGCAAGTTATAATTAATTTCTCCAACTATAACAACAAAATACCGCAACTTCAATTTGCAATATTAAGAAATATTATCAAACTCACAAAACTGTTCGTCAATGTTTTATAAAAATTATGGAGGCCAGTCTTCTTTAGTACAAACATGCGTACATTAAATTTTAAACAAATTCTACAAATTTCCATTGCTATTCTTGTTTCCTATTGTATTTATTATTGTTGATGTTGAATTTACCGTAATCGGGGAGGAATTCTATTGTACGATATATTACTTTCCTCTATTAATTCATTTAATTCTATTTTGACTCATTTTCATAGATAAATAAATAACACAGATCACTATATACTTAAAATAGCACTTTTTTTTAATATGGCAACCTAACAATTACTGCCAACCTCCAGTCAATAAAAATACTTGTAACTTATAATGAATCGACGGACAATCTAAAGAGAAACTAGGCTTGGTAAAAAATATCGATATATCGAAATATCGATATTTTTTCATAAAATAATCGATATATATCGTCGATATTTTTAATCGCGATATATCGTCATTCCGATATTTATTTTAGAGTATCGAATTCGTATCAATTTCGATATATTTTTACGCAATTCTTGTTTCGATTATTTAAAAAAAAATCTCGTTACAATCTTCATCAAATCGAATATTGCAGTAAGACCATAGACCAAACAGAAGCATTCTTTTGTCTTTTGCTTTTGGTTTTGTTTATGGTCTCACTGTTACGATTCGTAACTTATGTCTCGTAACTTACGAATTCAAATTTGTGTTTTGTGTTTATGATGTACACAGCAAGACAGTAACGGTATTTTTCTACGGAAAACTTAAAAGTTTAAAGTTAAAAATAAAGCTAAAACTAAAAATACTTCGAATTCGAAGCTTCGAACTTCGAATCTTATCAATCATGTCTTCTGTGTGGAAGTTCTTCAAAAAAAGAAGACAACAACAATGATTCAGCTTCTTGCAATTTGTGCGGCAAGTCGTATAAAACGTGCGGTAATACAACCAATTTGGCCACTCATTTAAAAAATAGGCATCATTTTGCTTATTTGCAAATGATGAAAATGCCTAGTTCATTGAAAACAACTAAATCTAGTGAAGAAACTGAAGACGCTGCGGCAGTAGACTTGAATAACTCCAATGTAATGTATCTACTGTTAATGTAAGATTATCAAATATTAATATATCCTAAAGTATATAACCTAAAATCTTTGAGTATTTAATATAACAGCAATAATAAATCAAAGACTAAAATAAACTAAACAAGTTGTCTTCTTTGAGTCGAATTAACTTTTTTGTACGAGGGTGGATTGAAAAGTACTCGGCCTAACACAGATCCATTCAATTCTAAAAATCAAATCTACCCACATTATTTAGTTCAGTTCAGACTAGTTCATTGTGTGAAGTTCGAAACGTGTGCGATAATTAGTTGTGATTTTATAAATTTATTAACAAAGTAATCGGACATAATTTCCGCGAATGGAGCAAATCGAGCAACGTGCCGTCATTAAGTACCTCCATAAGAAGGGGCTATCATCAAAAGCCATCCATGATGACATGGTCAGTACATTAGGCGATTGTGCTCTGTCATATTCATCCGTCAAAAAATGGATAGCAGAATTTAAGCGTGGTAGAGAGAGTGTGAAAGATGAACCCCGCTCTGGAAGGCCTTCGACGTCAACTACTGACGAAAATATTAAAAAAGTACTTGATTTAATAATGGGAGACCGCAGATTAAAAATGAGAGAGATAGCCGAGATTATAGGCATCTCTTATGAATGAACTTAAAACATCATTGTCAACGAGTTGGGTTTCCACAAGGTGTCTGCGAGGTGGGTTCCGCGACTGCTTTCAGTTGAACAAAAAAGGACGCGATTGACTATTTCACGCGACTGTTTGGAGTTATTTGAAGCCGATGCAGATGATTTTTTGAATCGTTTTGTTACTAAGGACGAAACATGAGTTCATTACTGTACACCGGAAACAAAACAACAATCAAAACAGTGGAGAAGACCTGGTTCACCACCCCCTAAAAAGGCTAAGTCGATTTTGTCGGCAAATAAGGTGATGGCTTCAGTATTCTGGGACTAGAAAGGTGTGATTATGATTGATTATCTTGAAAGGGGTCAGACTATAAACTCTGATTACTACTGCACCTTACTACGTCGTTTACGAGAGGAAATAAAAGAAAAACGTCGAGGAATGCTCAGAAGAAAAGTCCTGTTTCATCAAGATAACGCCCGTGTTCACACGTCAGTACAGTCAATGGCTGAAATTCACAACTGTGGCTTTGAACTGTTACCGCATCCGCCGTATTCACCTGATCTGGCACCATCAGACTTCTTTCTGTTCCCTAACCTAAAAAAGCACTTGGGAGGTCAAAGATTTTAGACAAACGACGAGGTCAAAGCAGCTGTGGACGCATATTTTGACTCTAAGGAAGAATCATTTTTTTTCAACGGTCTAAATGCTTGGAAGGGGAGGTGGCAAAAGTGTATTGAACTTGATGGTGATTATGTAGAAAAATAAAAATATAACTGATTTAGTATGTGTTTATTTTCTTGGTTAGGCCGAGTACTTTTCAATCCACCCTCGTATTAACTTTCTTTTTTACTGATTCTATATTTTCAGCTTAGTTTGCCATTCACTAGTACTGGTTATAAAAATTCCCAGCAAAGTCAAGAAGATGTCACAGTCGATCCTGCTGAGATGGTTTATCATGAAGCTAAAAAAAGAAAACAAAGCACCTTAGTAGCTTGTTTAGAGAGAGGCTCAAGCTTCGAAGGTATGTTACTGCAAAGTAAGGTGTTTTTTTTTTGTTTTACTTTTTAAATGTAAATGTGTTAATAGCAAGTAATTTCTTATAGTTATAATAAATTTATTAAATAAATGAAATTAACCATGTTGAATAAAATTAGCATATCCAAATTCATTCATAACAATCTACAATTTCATAAATTATCAATTTATATTAAATTAGTCATGTTTCATGTCAGGTCACTAGCGGCTATTTAATACCACCTTAAAATTCAATCAATTTTGTTCGATAAAATAACTTTACCTAAAGAATGGAAGGGACAGCCTGTAGCCGCACCAGTCAACATTAAATTATAATTCTGAATTTCGGTAAAACTTTGAGAAAATTGAGGGGTTTTACTGAAAGTGAAACGAATTTCGGTGCATCACTACTTTTTAATACGAATTTTAAATAGTATAGTTGTCGTCGCGCCTTATAAGTACGCACACCTCGTTGAGTTTACTCTTCACAAATAATAAACAAAAAGTGGTTGAGAGTGACTTTTGAAAGTATGTTTTTGTTCTGCTACTTCAGTTTTTGTGTGTATCAAACAATTAACTTTAAAAAATTAGTCAGTGATATTCGCAATTAATAATAATCAATAAATATCCGATCCGTTTCAATGTTCTATTACCGTCAAATAGTAATAAATGATACACACACACACACACACACACACACACACACACACACACACACACACACACACACACACACACACACACACACACACACACACACACACACGCGCGCACGAACGCACGCACGCACGCACGCACGCACGCGCACGCGCACACACACACACACACACACATTTCGTTTGGTTTTAATTTTTATTTTATTTTCCTCCTTTTATATTGTTTCGTTTTTATGTTACCAAGTTTATTATTTTTTCATTTATTACTTTCTTTTTACTTTTTGCTAACTCATACTTGTCCTGCCGACACTGATTTTGTGAAGAGCGCTGATTTCTATGATACAGGCCCTGCCTAGTTTAGAAGTCAGAGGTTCTAATATAATTTAAGATGTAATATTTAGACAATATGTTAATATATATTTTATGTAAACTCATTGTTATGCAGCAATAAAAATTTATTATTATTATTTATTAATGGAGTAGATGGTGCTATTGCTAAGCAATTTTACACTAAACTAAATTCTTTTGATTTATTACACAAAAAGTAAGGCTTTACATGTTTAAAAATGAGGATTGTTATTATTAATATATGAATTCTTTATATTTCTTCTCTTTTTTGAGATTTTGAAACCACACACACGACACAGAGCCAAGTGTGTGAGGGGAAATTTAAATAGTAAAAGTGGATAATAAAGTAGAAGATGTCAGAAACCCTTCTGGTGATGCAACAGGGGTTGAGAATGATGGCTTTTTGCAGCATGTGAAGTGTGAGTAGGCATGTGTAGAGTGTTAGGGCTTTGTGCGAGTGACTTTGGTATAATATGGGTGGATGAGAGGACTATCCGTAAGCTGTAAGCATTTTGTGCTTTCCATTGAGTTTTAATTTCTATGGCAAGTTCTTTTACTTAGTTTTTCAGATATAATAATTTGAATGTTATGTGGGTGTATTGCTATATCTATCAGGTAAACTGTTTTATTGGTTTTGTTGTGAAAGGCAGGTCTGTTGTAATTAATAGTTTTATCTGTTATTATTGTTATGTCCTAATAGATTTTCTAATTCTTACTTTCTAATATTATTTCTGGTTTATTATTATTATATTATATGTGTTGCAAAATTAAACTTTTATCTTACATTTTATGCCACATAAGTGGTTGAAAATTATCATTAAATAAATTATTTTTTTTAAAATATTTTTATTTTATATTTCATTTCATTTGAAGTTTGCACTTCTACTGCGGGTGAACTGCACGCATATTTTTTTGTTGTTGTGAGAGTATTCTTAGTTGAAATTTTAGTTGAGTACTACCATAGCCATAGATTGATGATAAATCAAGTAATGATTTCATCCAAAGTACAATCTATTACATTTTAGTGATGTCCACCATTCAATATCGATAAAATATTATTGATTTACATTTGACATTCACAGTTTGTTTCATTTATTACGTATGATTTTTTGAGTAATTTTGCATTAGTACTTATGATCATTTTTATTTTTCAAAAGGTGGACAAAAACATAGTGAAATAACACAGGCACTGATTTACATGATATGTAAGGACAATTTGCCATTATCATGTGTTGAAAAAAAAGGCTTGCAAAAACTTATGCGCACAGCATGCCCTCTTTATAAACTGCCTTCCAGAAAAAAGGTATTTATATTAAAAATTATCATTCTTATTTATAATTAAAAAATTTATATCACAGTAGTATAACTGGTACTTTTTGTAATTTCCAGGTAACTCATATGATAGAAAATCGATATAATACCACAAAAGCAGTTCTTATGAAATCCTTGACTGAGCAAAATTTTTTATGTTTTACAAGTGATATACTTACTCTCACTAATTCTACAAGGAGCTTCTTAGTATTAACAGTTCATTTTATTGACAACGTTAAGGGATCGCCTATCCTTCAAAATGTAAGCCTATGTGCGCAGAAACTGACTCAGGTGTGTTTTTGCAGTACTTTGTAATTTATCAATTATCCAGACCTTTTAATTATTTTAACTGATATAATTTAATAACTACATCTTAATTGATTCTCACATTGTAAAAATATATACAATATTTTCTTTTTTTAGGCTCATTCAGGACAGTACATAAAAGAATGCTGGGAAGAAATTTGTGAAGAATTTCATATAGACAAAAATAAAATTGTTGCCATTACAACTGATGGGGGTGCAAATATAGTGGCGGCAGTGCGATTGTTTTTAGGGAACGATCGCAGAATTTCGTGTATGGCACATTGCCTAAATCTTATTGTTGATGGGGTGTTGAAAGAAAATCACGCATTTTCAGCTCTTTGCGATCACGTAAAGAGCATCGTGACGTATTTTAAACAATCCGTAAATGCGATGGATCAATTACGCTCTGAACAAGAAGTATCTGGAATGCAAGAAGGGGAGGTGTTGACATTAACACAAGCCGTCACCACAAGATGGAACTCGTGCTTTGACATGTTAAAAAGATTTACCACTCTTTCTGCACTAGTAGCTAAAATTTTAGCTACTAAAAGTCAGACAAGCCGAAATACACCCGACATGGTCGCAACTTCTCAATTAAATATTATACGAGATATTGTGGCTATTTTAGGCCCATTCAAAGAAGCCACGGAAGAAATAAGTGGGGCTAATTACGTGACTTCCAGTTTAGCCATTCCGGTTACTGATTCGCCAAGCAGTTGAAACTTTAAGTCCATCTACAAGTTTGGGGCTAATTGTTAAAGAAGCTCTTCTTAAAAAAGTTCAAGAAAGACTGGTACCTTCACAAGAAAATTCATATTTGTCCGCAGCAACAATATTAGATCCGCGTTTTAAAAAAAATCATTTCAATTCACCAATTGCGGTTTCACATGCCATAGCCAAAATTAGTAATGATATTCGGAGCGAACACCGACGCAGGGGTCAACTTTCCCCTGATCTTAGAACGATCCAAATATGAAAAGCACAAGAAAAAACTGAGAGCTCAATTTGGTCTGGGCATGAAAAATTATTATCCCAGTCAACAACCGTGCCCGAGGTCCCGAGCTCTGGCTCTGTGCCCAATGAACTCAAGCAATACCTTGATCAACCTCTCCTTGAGAGAAAGGCTGATTCAATAAAATTTTGGACAAATTGCCAACATTTTACGCCAGTTCTTTCAGAAGTCGCCCTTAAATACTTAATTTGCCAGGCTTCTTCGGTCTCTTCTGAAAGAGTTGCATCAGCTGTGAATATAACTGTACCCGACAACAGAAGCCGCTTGACAGGAGAGCACGTCAAACAGAGAGTGCTACTAATGTCAATTTCGGATGAATATTGGTTTGATTAGATTACTTTCTAATAAAAATATACTATTTTCTTCATGTGTGTATTTTTTTTCCGTATATTGAATGTTTTGGGAATACATATTATGTATGAATGATCATGCAAAACATGTCGATATATCGATATATCGATATTTTTCTGTCGATATATATCGATACTATTTTCAAATGCCGATACGATATATATCGATATATTTTTTTCACTTGCCCATCCCTAAGAGAAACTATGATTCTGTTTTGCGGGTGGCGAAAAAAGGAACTAAAGTTTGCCATACTGCATCAAGTTCAAATTCGGTTGAATGGCTAGAATGGTAAAGAATCTAGCGCCCTCGAGCAGAGAAATGGAGCTTGGTTGACTCCACGATTATTCGATGATTTATGAAAAATTGAATGTGGCATTTGGATATGTCATGTATGTGTAGCGGCGCTGTCGTCGCGCCACTAGCACACCGAAGCCTAAATCGCGCTATTAACATTCCGAATCATAGACAGTATATATAGAACTTTTCCGAATTATCACTAGGAGTGTCGGCCGCTCCCCGGGCAGAACACCTTGCTCGGCGGGAGATCTCCCCTTTTCCTCATCGGCCACATATGTTAACACAAGACTTCGGAATTTTTTAAGCAATTTATTAAAACAGAAAATTAGAAAGTGGTTGCGCGGAAAACCATTCGCGTTTTTATTTTTGACGGTAGGAACTTGCCGAATCATTATCCCTTTCCAAAACGATATCATTCGTACCCTCCTATCGACACATCGGGGTGATGGGGTGGGAGGGGAAAGAAGACGATTCTAGAACATCGCGCAATCACCGGAGCCGAGGATATATAAGACACGCGCGACCGACGCGCGCTCGCTTCTTCCCGCCGCAGCCGTCGTTGAACTACAACGCTTCTCTCTTCCCGCGCGCTCGTTTGGAAACACCTCACTAGTGGAAACCGCTTTGGCCTGGAAGCAGTCGAGCTCCAGGAACCCGCCTCACCTCGTATGAGATATCGTCGCGCACCGCCTCTCTCCGGAGTGTTCCGGAAGTCGCCGCTATAGTGCTCTAAAGGATAGAAGAACCCCGGTGAGTCAATATTCCTTGATTTACTGCCTGATTAATATTTAATAATGTTAACCGTTCCAATTCTGTGTTCTCCTCATCAGGCAGGATTCCTTTCATCGATTTGGCAAGTAATAGTTTTAGTTTAGGGAAGAGCGAGTGCATTGTACCGCATGCTATAGTAGTCGCTTTTACGTGAACGTAGAAGCAATCGCAAATACAGTCCACTTTAGTTAATATCTCGCGTAATAGGTTTGAGGTTTGACCGGGGAACTAGATTTTCGGCAGCCTTAAACACGTGGCTCCACCAGAAAGTATTTACATAATGTGCTTTTTGATATTTTTATTTTAATGTTTTTTAATATTTAACATTTGAAATTTTTATTTTTTTAATTTAATATGAATAGGTTGTGGTTTTTAAGGTCACCTCAGACACATATTTCTTATATTGGTTTTTTAATGTACATTTTATCTGTATATACTTTGCAAATCGTGTAACGTTGCGTTATGTTTCAACCTAGAGCAAGATTGCTGCTACCTACAGTACCATTCGTAAATGAATTGTACTGTAGATACAGTAAATCCAACAAGTACCAGGAGCCCTTTAAAGAAACGAGTACCTATATTATATATTTATTCAATTTTATACTTATGTCCACCCATCCATTTAGTTTTTATTGTTGCCTAGCTATAATTTGTTCAGCTAATTATTTCAGACTATCATCGTCGAAATTGTTAAGTTAGTTAAGTTACACAGCCTATTTCCGTCCCACTGCTGGGCCTTCCCTCACTTCTGAAAGGATTTTAGGGCAAGGAAGTATCCGCCGCGCTGCCCATATGCGCGTTGGCGAACTGCACATGCCTTGGAAATATTTTTATTTTATTTCTCAGACAGTCAGACTTCCTCATGATGTTTTCCTTCACGCCGAGCAAGAGGTAAATCAGCACTTAAAATTGCAATTAATAATTTCATTGATGCCGGCGGGGATCGAACCCGGTGTTCTAGCGTACTGTGAAATTTAACGCGAGAGCTAACAATCTGAGCTACCAGGGCTCTCTCATCGTCGAAATGAATACTTAAGTTAGTTAAGTTACAGACTTTTTACGCCCCACAGCTGGACAAAGGCATCCCCTTATTTCTCAGAGGATTTTAGGTTAAGGAAGTTTCCGTCGCGCTGCCCCAATGCGTGTTGGCGAACTTCACATGTCTTCGAAATATTTTTTTTTCTTATTTCACAGACGTGCAGGCTTCCTCACATTGTCTTTCTTCACCGCCGAGCACGTGGTAGATCAGCACTTAAAAAGGCACTTAACAATTTAATTATTGCTAGCGGGGATCGAACCCGGCTTGCTAGCGTACTGTGAAATTTACAGCGAGAGCTAACCATCTCAGCTACCACGGCTCTTCTGAACCACCACGGCTCTCATCGTTGAAATGAATACACCTCTTTATTTTGTATGTTTTTTTTTCTATAGGATAGGGTGACAAACGAGCACGCAGTCCACCTGTTGTGGTTGCTGCGGCCCATAGATATCTACATCTATCCTCGATTATAAATCAAAATGCAGATGCGTGTCACCCGTGAGGACTAAGACGGAACGCCTCGTTTCCAGTAAAAAGGCTCTCCGGTTCTCTACACACACCATACGAAACACAGAAGCATTAAGCTATTATTTCACGCTGGTGTTCGGTGAGAGCGTGGTCCTTCCCCGGTCGAGCCGGCCTATTCGTGCTACAACTATACTACTAATATAACTGCAGCATGGGTCTACCACGTATAAAAAATGTTTTAATGAACTAGTACATGATGCACAAAAAAGTGCAGAATCGGACTTTAATTGTGGCATATTTTTGTATAATGCATAAGAAGTGGGTTTTTTAAAAAATATACATAAATAATATTTTTTTATTTCAGGAAGAGATATATTTATTTTAAATTTTATTATTTCGTAGCTATTATTTGTGTTAAAGGAAATATGTTACCTTTTGGAGAAATAATGTTGTTGGTTATTGGAAATGTAACGTAACCGCTGCGCACCTCGCGGCACTTCTGTCACTCGACACATATTATGGTGCATTGGGTGGTTTACAAAAAACGTTATTTATAACTCTACATCAGCGGGAGTGACCCTTGAGTGGTTTTATGGTTTTTAAAGGAATAAATGAATCTTTATAGCAAGACCTATGGAAAGATGACTAAATCACGTAAAGAAAAAGAGAGGTTCAAGACTGAATCATTATAATGAAATAAAAAAAAAAACTATTTTTATTGACTAAAGCATTACGCCGCATTATGCCGCATCTGGTCCGAACTACATTCTACATGGGTGTAAGTTGATTGTGGGTTTTTGTAAGCTTATTATTAATGCGTTTTATGATAAAAATTGTATTATAGCCTATGATTTTGCACATAAAATATTGCAAACAATAGATGTAAGATTAAAATAAAATAAAATTGAACTATTAAAAATCTTTGTGTCATTGAGAAATATGATAGTTTTGACTTTATTCAATATTTAGTTATACTAATTACTTTAAAACTTTATTAAACATATGTACTCGTTTATAGTAAATTTCATAGAGAATTCAGAAATGTATACATATTATAGTAATCCATATACCAAAATCAAGATATTTGCATTTAAACGGATTGGGCGCAATCAGCCGTCCATTTTATTAAACAGCTCCGCAGTCAACGGAGTATTACGGTTAGTCTCCGCAGCTAAAAGGATATTGAAGAATTTTTATACAATATGAAGCCTAGCAAGGTGAACCGAATTACAGCAGTGACCCAAGCGCATTCTACAACTACTGCTCAGGGCAAACTGAGCAACAAGACCAAGGCGACCCCAGCCACGCTATTCGTCAATTTCTGCAATATCAGGGGACTTCATTCTAACCAAAACGCAATCCACTAACATTTCGCTCTTTATGGCTAAGACGTAGGAGAGGACACTCCGGCTGATGCTTCGCATCTCTCCTACCCAGTGTACAAACTGGAACACTCCTTTGTGCCTCGGGCTGGACTTTGAGAATAAAGAGAGGACATTTATTCTGGACGCCTCGGCATTTTTGAAGGTTCAGACCTGTCCATCCTTTGGCTACGCGTAGACAGCGACGACCATCCGCGCGTCTACGGGTAGACGGGGTCTATAGGTCCCATAGCGGTAATGCTGAAAAAGACCGACTCTTCGACCACGTACAAATGGCTACAGATTCTTTGCTACAGCAGATCCCGCAGAGATCGTGATCCTCGGCGATTTTAACTCCCACAACGCCGAGTGGCTTGGGTCACGTTTAACCGATCGTGTGGGTAGATATGTTCATAATTTT